ATGCGGTTTTTTCAACTGTCAAAAGAATTGGCAAATGACCAACGATTCGATTTCAAAAAGTCGGTGGGAAAAGTGGCTTTTAAATAATATTATTATGCCAGATTTATGCCGGTTTTTATACGAGTGTCGCCAGAGATAAAAGCTGTATTTGAATAGAATTTTCATAAAGAATGAGTGTGTCCGGGCTGAGAAATGAGACTGTCAAAATCGTGTGTGCTTGTTCAGATTATATTCATGAGAGCGTTCCTTTGTTATAGGAAGGTACAACTTGCAAATAGTTGAGCGCATCAAGGTAGTGCGCATGAAATAAAGTACATGAATAAGTACTTATGAAATAAAACTGCGTCTTGTATAGCTCAGCGGCCAAACTCGATTTTCACATATACACGCCGCTTATCATATTTTATTATGTACGACTCGCTCGCTAAAATATAACGACCTGAATAAATTTCAGCGACACGAAAAATGAATGCACCACGTGTGTACAGAGTATTATGTAAGCGGAATATTATACGCGTCGCTGAATTATTTATTGTGCGCGGCAACATTTATTTTGCCGCCGCCGACACAAAGAGTGGACCTAGAACTATCGTTTGTGCATTGGGATAGATCAAGAAAGTGGTTACACTGCTGGCTGGCCGGGCGCACGTCGACGCCGCGCACAGTTCAAGGAATGTGACCTGGGTTGGTTTTATTTGAACACGACACATTTGATATCTATTGTGTTGATCAGGATAATCGAGAATTTTATGTACTCAACTTGCAGTGCTCGCCTCGATTCAAGTAATTAATCTGTAATTCATTCAACTGATTTTTTAGTTTGAGATTTATTTTCCAGTTTTCCAATCTACAGCTAGAGAAAAGTTGTATATTTTTCAGTTTTAGAAAATATTTTTTTATTTAATTAGGAACATTGTCGGTGCACATAAGTTCAATATAATATTGAATGCAAATTTAATTGGATTTCGAAACTACTTATTTTTATAAAGATCATATTTATAAGGTTTGCGCACGAGATACGTTTTTTTTTCAATTTTTACATAAAAATTTTGAGTAAATGCTGAAATTCAGGAATTGAAGAAAGGCAATTAACAATTAACATTTATTTTGTATACAAAATTAACTTGCAAAGAATTTATATATATTAACAAATACAATTTAAAACTTTGTTTTGTTGGTGTATTAAATATTATAAAATTAAAATTAAATTTTACAATTTATTTAAATTAAATTGAATATGAAAAATTCTGGGATATTTTGTACTTTAAAACTATTATTTATATGTGTGTTTAGTGTTTAAAATAATAAATTTAGTTCGATTGAGTAATCATTATAATTCAGAAAATTGTGTAATTATTGATTCCATCTTCTGTTTATTTACAGATCATAAGTCTGAAGTCCAATTAAATTATTAATTTCATAGAATTATTTCAAAAATTATCTTTAACAATCTCATTAAAGAATGGTCACGAGTTGAAAACAATTCCTTCCATATATCGTTTTTTAATTTATCTCATTTTCAGCATCTGCATCAAGCGGCGTTCGTTATAAGGGCAAACTTACTTAGCATTATTTTCACAATGGTCATGAAAATTTGTCATTCTGGTCATGGTAAAAACTAAAAGAAAACTTGTATGTAAAAATTACACCTGTCCATGCCTGAGACACAATGGATTATTCTGCACGCTATCTTATCTGCATTTCGCGCTTGGAGTGTTACACATAATAAATCGAGCAATATAATTGATTTAACAATGTATGCGAAGGGTCAAGTCATTGGCGGCGTTGCGACTTTTACGAGAGCCGATTGATTTTGCTCTGCTCGCGTTAAATCATGTTTCAAGCCGAGTGTGACAAATACCCGTTGACAGTCGCCCTTTCCAAACTTGAGATTTATTGAGCTTCAAGAAAGAGGTGCCGAATAAATATTTTTAAAGGTCCGCAGTCTGGTGCGAGCCGTGACCAAATTTGGTCGCGCCTAATTGAGGTCCGCGTCGTTTGATGCCTGGAATTCTTTCACGACCGCAGAACATTTATGCTAAATCACAGTCCATAAGGCACGCGCCACTTTTAATCCCAACAGAGGCGCAAATTAACTATCTCTAAAATTACACAGGACATTATATTATGCTCAGCTGAGGAGATTTTTATCGCTCGGATTATTTTAATTTCTTGTTACGCTCCAATATGTGGAACGAATTTGATTATTATTATTTGTTTGTAGAAATTACCAAACGAGTTTGTGTCGGTCGCACACATCGAATTAGAATCGCAAATTCTGACCCGCAGCTACGCACATCTGTTTTAATTTGAATCAAAGTAGCGCTTCGAGACGAATTCAATTAGAGCGGCATTGTGCCTATGTTATATAATGAAAGGCCTACCCTACATTCCACCGCCGCGATTGTTAGGCAACATGTTCAGACCATCAAATTGCATTATGTGTCTGCATAAATAAAGCCGCTTTATTTATTTATTTTATTGCGCTGCACACGTTTTCCCATAACGCCTCGGGCGCTTGAAATTCAATTACGCGCGCGCGCGGCTCCTTTTCAATTAGCTGTGATATTGACACTGAATGCTGATTCTGCAAGTCCTCAACTGTTGCACAGACAGAGAGAGGCGTGCAACGATTGATGATGTGTGAAGAATGAAGAAACACCCTGTTTCTAATTGTTCGTAATTTTCGAGCTGCGTTTATCTCTCATTATTTAATGCTCATTCGTTTTTAAAATAAAATCATTAGTTAAATGTTTTTGCATTGAATTTTTATCCTTGTCAGGAGAGATAACGTTGATTCATTGTAAAAGAGAGAAAAATAAAATACCACCTGTGCAGTAAAACTTTGTGCAAACCTTTTGAAAATTTGCTCGACTGTTTACCAATATTATGATATTTAATTTTAATTACAAATTTCTAAAACTGGATATCGATTCAAACAATTTTTCTGAATGCACCTTTTTTTCTGTCTCAATATTATCGTTTTGATGAGTATACTCTTTAATTCTCAACACCCCATAAAATGATTAATTTATTTCCAATATCGTAAACCTTAAAAATTTTAATAAAAATCGATACTAAAGAAATGTTTGAACAAGTAAATTAGCAAATAGTTGCTACCTATATGAAGTCCAAAACACAATTAAGAGTTGCTATTGTAATTCTTTAACTGTATAATTAATTTAAATTTAATAAATAATCATTTGTTTATATATAATAAGACTTACAAATTATTCTATAATAACGCTTTACCGTAATTATAAAAACATCAATTAAATAATAAAAATATTAATTTTCATAGCTTTTTCATTTTTTTATTTAATTATTATATTAAAATTTAATATTTATTGTGTAATTGATAATTAAAGCAAAATTTTTAATATAGTTATGAAAAATGTATTTTACTGAGTTATCACATTTTTTTTGAAAAACATCTTTGTCTTCAAAATTTTAATAAAATGATCAGGTTCAGATCAATTTAAGTAGGCTTCATTGAAGATAATATAATTTTGTTCAATTACGGTTATGCTAATGTTAATGAATTCAACGAGGTTCACATTACATTTGGGGTTGAATTTTATATTAAAATTTTCAAAGAAAAAAAGAATACATTCGCTATTTAAAATTATTCTATGGGTCTCTTGGAAATATATCTTTCAATTATGTGTATTTTGCTTTTCATAAAATTTAAATTGTAATTTACATTGTTTTCTGTTTAAAGGAAGGATTTCTCGTTGCTTAATTATGCAGTAAATTTGTGCTTTGTTGTTGTTCACCCGGAAATTGAAAGAAAGATTGCATATTTATCTTTTCAATATTGGCACAGCCGCCGCTGCAGCCCAGCCCTGTTGTAAAAGTTTTCATAAGTAAGTGAGTGCGCGGCGAGTTTGCCAATATTGCAATATATTTATTTTTGATCGGTTGCTTTTACGTCGAGCAAGAAAGCGTTCTCGTGAATGTATTACGGCGCAAAACGCATAAAATATTTTCACTGGCTGAGCATTAAATTGTTGCTTTTTAGCTCCTTTTATTTCCCTGTACTGTAATGTATCGCATAATAAAAGAGCCGCGCTGCGATTTGTTTGTTTTATTTCACGTAAGTGCATTCGCGTCTTTGTTGTTGCAACTCAGCAGAGTTAAAAAATGTTTTATTTGCAAGCTTTTCTACCAAAAATGCTTAAAATATTTAATTCTAAAATAATATCAGACAAATCGTGGCAGATAAATATGGGATGTGACTCAATAATTTCCAGCTCCATCAATCAAACGTGCCTCAATCAAAAATCAATTCAGAACAAATCTCATTGTCAGCTGCTGCAGTTGAAAAGTTCAGCGCCTGTTCTGTTTTACCTTTTTAATTTCTATGCCCTTTTTTTCTATCACGATTCTACTTGCAGCGGTGAGCAATAATTTTTTAATTAAATTAAAATAAAATAAAACCATAGATTCCTCTTGTAAGGAACTTGCGCTTGGAAGATGACAGGATCATAATGTCAAAGACGATGAGAGGTTTTTGCATTTCAAAATATAATGATTTTTTAATAATTTTTGATGCTTCATTAAAAATAGATTCTGTTTTAAAAAATTGCTTCGCCGAATGTCTTGGTTTGCAAGATCTAAATGTTAATAAAAACGATAAAAGATGCAACTATAGCCGAATTTCTGGAGGAGGTTTGATGAGATAATTTTTCAAGTATTTACTGATTTTGATTTCTAGTTTTTGGTGAGACATGCTCTGAAAAAGTGTTTTTCAATGCGGCACCTGAGAGAAAAATTCTCTGCTCTTTCAGACCTGGGTAATATTTTCAATTAGAATTCAGAACCGATTTTACATCACAACTAAGTATTGTGAAAGACGTTCCAGTGGAAAAATTGCCAAACATAAAAGTTTGCGACATGATAAATTACGAAAATCTGGTGCAGTTCAACGTCCAAAACGAGACTTTAAATGCACTTGATAAAGATATTTCTTGTTTGTATTAATATTAATTATAATTTGATTAAACTAATTAATACCGCAAAGTGATTGAACGTACGATGACGTTCACGAGAAAAATTCGAATCAAAAACATATTGCAAGTTGGCGGCTGGAAATTGAACAACATGAATGCCCTGTCAATGAGCAAAGTCTGTTCAAATGAAGAAAAACGGTTGGCGTTTGTGAGAAGAATTAGGGACATCATGGTCCAAAACCAATTGGACGGCGTCCTCATTTTTTGGGCTTTTCCAAACTGTCCTGACGTAAAAATTGCACAACTATTATTATTAACCATTAAATGCATAATAATTTTTAAAACAGAACTCAGCTATTTGCACGAATCTGAAATTGGACGATCGACTGAACGTTGTAAGCTTGTTGAGGGAACTTTCGCAACTCTTGAAACCGATCGGAAAATTGGTTTTGTTCTACTCTTCAATCAACAGCGTTTTTCTCACTTTCTCCGCAGGTTATTTTTACGTTTTAGATGCTCTCAGGTTAAAAAGAGTGACTTTTAAAGGTGACGTGTACTCTCCTAGCGCTAGTTTTGTGGATTATTACGTGCTGGAAACGTTCAAACAGGCAGGACATTGGTCCAAGACAATCGACTTATCAACTAATCTAAAGAAAATGGTGAAAATTAAACGTAAAAATTATTTCTGGTTAAATAGTTTTAACGTTATTCCAGAGAGATAATTTTGATTTATTCCGAAGAAAGGTTGACAGAGCTGTTTTGAGAAAAGTTCTGATTTTCTTTGACATCGGAAGTTTGACGTTCGAACTGAAAATTCCAAATGCGCACAGAATCGGATCCGGTTTTATCCAAGAATCACAAATTCTTCCAGAGTATTCTCCATTTACCGACGTAAAATTTTAAATTCTAAAAAAAATTTCAGTAAAATTAACAAAAAAATTTATTTTTGACAAAAGGTGTGCATAGCAATCAGACAAAAAAATTTTACCACCGTCAAAAACGTTGCGACACAAAATTACGCGTACAAAGATGACGTTTGGTACGCGTATGACGATCGCGATTCCCTGGCTGAAAAAGTAATTTCATCGAAAAAGATATTTTACAATATTAAAGTTATTCATTTTAAAATTCATAGATTAAATTCATCAAAGAGTTTGACTGTGCCGGGATTGCGCTGACCGGCGCAGAAATGGACGATTACGAAAACAAATGCGGCTGCGGAAAAATGTTTTATCTGAGACTGGTCGGCGAACTTCTGAAGGGCGGCGAGTGCAAACTGGACACCTGCTTTTGATCAAGCGGAATAAACGGATTACGCAAAGAAATAATGTCGTGTCATTGAATAAGAAGGTGTGCGAAAAGCACATTTAACATGCGTGATAGCAATTCTCAATAAAAAAACAACACATAATGATGTCCATTATTTTATTGTAATGATTATTTTTCTCCTTTCCCTTTCCGGATACTCACGGCGGCGGCGGCACCTTCGAGTTGCTCTCGATTTTTTGCTTGTCTTTCCGCTTCAATTGGCCGGCGATTCAATCGTGTGTGTGATACACGATAGTGGTGCGCATTACATTGTGTTAGATATGCATGACATAACCGAGCGCGGATTATTATTATTTCTCCCGCAACAATATTCCGAGTATGTGCGCAATCGTACTTGTAAAGTTGATGTAGTATTTTCACGGCGTTTTATCACGTTTTCAGCAGCGAAGGTCCTGATACTAATTAGAACGGACTATGCGAGATGTGAAATGCAACCTCACGACTTTGGTGGACCTCCCTTCGATGGGCAGACGCGATAGCCTTTTATGAGAGCAACACCCACGCCTCTGCATTATTTGCATTATTTGTCCACCGACTTCATAATTACGTCTTGTTACGTGTGTTTGTTTTTTGCTCCGGAAAACAACAAACAATGCATTTGAAATCATTCTAGATATCAATTCCATAAATGTTCACTCGTGCTTAAAAGGCGTTTTTCCCAGTAAGCACTGAAATTCAAAGCTCAATATTCTAGATAAGATTATTTTAATTTCTTATATTCTAGTATTGCATTATTATAATAAATTATATATTTTTTACTGAAAATATATTTGTATTTTTAGTTGTGAATGAAGAAATTTGCAGCACAAGCGGCTGTTGAAAAAGCAAATAATATCAAATCGATTATAAAGTAAAACATGTTGTAATTTATAAAATCACTAATTGTAATGATAAAATATATTTATTGATCACGTGCCTGTTTTTCCCATAAAATATATTACAGTTTTTATCTTAATAAGAGAAAGAAAAGAAAGTTTATGTCAATATTTTATACAAAACAATAAATAAAAAATTAAAATTTCTAAATTCCAATATTTTATATATATGTGACAAATAACTTTATTACATAGCAACCTAAACTTTTAAAACATTTTGCATTTATAATAAAAAATATTTTATTTTATTTATAAATTTAATATATTAACAAGCACTATTTCATAAATTTAAATGTCTTTTATTAGGTGGTTTTTGGTCAGAGCTAAGTTAAATGATTCGTATTAAGTATTATTACGTTCATTTCTAAAATACATCTGGGATAAAGATTTCTATTTACGAAACTCATAGCAAGAAGTTCGCTTTAAAAAATTAAATGTTTTTGTTATGTTAATTGACCTTTTTATTTTATTTTTGTTTTTATATTATATTATATATTGACATTTTTACTGTTTCCAGTTTACTACAAGGATTTTTTGTTGCTTAATTCTGCAGTAAACTAGCTCTTTGACATTGCTCATTTTGAAATTTATGTTCAAATTTTTACGAAAGCGGTTTATGTTTTCTAGGCGTAATGAATTGAAGACAGGTCTAGATAGAAAATTTATGGGAAAATATTCTTGACAATGATTATGAGAAAAGCTTGTAGAAAAATTTAATTAAAGTGAGCAATAATCCTATCATGTAAAATGTGTCAAAAACTTTTGAGTGCGCATGCAAATCTCTCTCCACAGATGCAAAATTAAATGAGCTTGAAATCGGCCAACACTAATCCTAGGCTGCTGGGAGTCTAGATCAATCAAAGTGACACGAGAGCTCTTTTAAAGGATTAATCTGACAAGCGTGAGAGTCAAAATGCCGAAAATCAGCATCGCAACTCTGAATATATTCAAAGGACAAAGCTGCTCTCAAAGAGCGATAATGATCTCGCCCTGACGAATTACTCAATGTTCTCACCCAAGACCGATATTTAAAGCGCTAAAGCAGCAGCTTCTGTTTTCTAAATAATAAATCTCTCTCTTTCTCTCGCGGCGCGGCTCATTTTATTCATTACGTTGAAGTGAGCCGCGGGCCCTTTGGATTTCCAATGCGAAATAGAAATGACAGCCTGCGCAACTTTTCAAACTAGAGCTGCAAAATCAAAGCCGAGCGGGGTCAATCGTAGCTATCTTTATGCAATTTCAATGTACAAGAAGAATTAACATGCGCATAATAATTATTGTTCGGTTTGCTCTGAAGAGAGCAAACTGCCAGTTCGTGATGACGAAATTACATTCCCATAGTTGCTTCAAATCAGGGGCGTAACTCGCCTAGCAAATATTGAGCTTCTTGCTTTGCATTTTGCTAAAAAGTATTATGATAATAATTGGGAGGATACAATATATACTTTATAAATGTGAATAATTCAAGTTTAAAGTTTTGATAAACCTATTAAAATCAGACGCAAACTTCAACCAAAAACGTTATAACAAAAATTTTAAGTGAACTTTATACAGAAAAAATGCTTTAATTTGATTAATTTTTCATTATTTTACATCAAATTAATCCATTATTAATTATTTATTTATGTTTTATTTTTTTTTAATTTATAATTTTTTATCATTTTTAAACATCTATTTTTTTAACAATTATATTAAATTTATAAAAATAAAAGTTTTAATAACAAAAGTTTTTATTGTACAAAATCAATAAATTCAGAAAATGCATAAAGTATTTAAATTAATAATATTTTTATTAACAATAAGCGATGTGAAAAAAATTTTCTGCCTTTTATCTGAAGTTAATAATTGTTAAATGTAATCTTAACTTCCAAGAAAGAAAGGAGGTAACAATCAAGGCTGCTGTGGAATAATAATTGTTTCGCCTGTGTAAAAGTCAATGAGTCAAGCTGCAGCTCATTTAATATTGCATCCGCGTGTTCGCTCGCGTTTAATTTATTTGTTTGCGATTCACAAGCAGAGCAAATCTGCACGCACACGTTCACGGATCTAATTCTGCGTGAGTGTGCAAAGCGTGCATGCGATATTATGTTATCGAGTGGGTGCTGCGCGCCACTCGGTGCAAATAATAAATAAATCTCGCGTTTGCAATAAAACAACAAATTGGCGCGCAAAACGCGGAAAAAAGAGAACGGGACTGATTTGTCATTTATTGCATTGCGCTGGGCGAGAAGAATTATCCGCGTTCTCGTTGCTGACAGCCCGCGAGTCTATGAATGTCATAATATGACAAGGCACATGTTTACGATGTCCATTATCAATAAACTACGGCAGCGTGTGCTCATTGATGCTGATTTTTATCGACTGTCGGCGACTCAACGAGCAATCGCTTGCACTCATTATACATTTTTCATACTTCTCTCGCCACCTGGAATGCACACCCGCCTCAATAAGTTCCTGCTCTATAAACTATCCAGAGCTGAGCAGGTTGCATACATTCGTCATTTTCCAGAAATATTGTTTCCTGAAATTAATGTTTGCAAAAAAATCATTTTCTGCCTTAAAATATAGAAAAATATTCTTTTTTTAAATATAAAACAGAAGAGAAAGACGTATATTATGCATGATATTATTTTGTATTTAATAAATAAATTTAATCTATTTTCTATTTAAATTTTTTTGCAAGTGCGTTACATTTTTTGAATTAATTTGAAATGTTTCGGTTTCAATACAGGCCGCTTTCTTTTCATTGTCATAACTTGCATGTCCTCAATTTGCGTCGCATATGAAATTCGTCCGACCACCGCCTCATAATATTTCTCAGAACTCCTTTGTAATGCAAAAAGTCGCAGCGCGATAAATTCGCGAGATGTACGGCAAAAACGACAATTTGTGCCGACTTCCTTTAAATAATTGGCCGCGTTTAATCTACTCTCCTGAAAAAGGGTCGGCCTCCATTTCTCCAGCAAATAAATCACACAGCTAAAGAGCGCGCTGGAATTCCTGCAGATTTTTATCTCTCCAACCGGCAGCGGTCACAATTAATTTTGTGCACATTTTATTGATTCAAAAACTGGTTTCTTTGTTCTTCTCTGGAGCGCCAGAAACTGTGAACAAAAGTGATACACATAATTCACCACCCATTTCTTTCTCTCTGTCACACTGTAAAGACGAAATAATAATAATATGCATCTCTCTCTGGGCGTGCAGATTACAATCGCGTGTTACAACTGCTCGCAATTCATTCAGCTCCGAAATAATATCAACATATATATTGTGAAAGAGAAGCGGCGGCGTCGGCTAATTGAAGACTTTTATTTATGAGCACAAAACAATGCGCAGCGTTTAAAGCTTTTGAGCAGTGCTATCGCCGCGCTGTGGGTTCTTCCTGCGCTTTCTGCATAATGAAATATGGAAGCCCATGGGCGGTCTTTTCTCTGGACGCAATCATTTTTTTTTCTTTTTTATTTATAACGTCATTGCCTAACTCTTCCAACGCTGACCAGCAGTCCAGCCAGGTTGGAAGAAACACAAGCAGAAAAAAGGTAAAACTATTTTTTTTTTTGTTATTCTCAACCAGTTTTATAAAAATTTTCATCTTAAAATTTTACATTTTAAAATGTAATTAATATAAATAAAATGTTTTTATTTTACATTGAAACTTGCACAGTTATTGCTTTAATTTTATAATTTATGCAGCAG